TACCAGATTTTTGGCTGCATATGAAAAGTAAGTAACCAGCACTGGCTCTGAGATATTTAATGCCATTCCCCGCTACATATTTATGTGAGTAGGTTTCTCCCAGCTGTTTTATATAAAATCAAAATACATGTGGAAAATACTGTATATATTTTCCAGAAATTCAGTATTTATATGTAAATAGATGGCCATACTGTATTTAATAATATTTATGTCATAGAAAACGGAAAGCCTGCGCAGATAGGAGACTCGCCATCTTGGTTTTGAATTGGATACAACGTTAATGTAATGGGAAGAATTTTTCGTGCTCTAGAGGTTAAAATTGGATTGACACCTCTCAAATAGGAGGCGAAATTGGTGGATGTGCATTCCTGCATAACTTGAGATATCAGACGACTCGACAAGACAGCTCCAGGAACCTCAGATAAGCTCTCTAGATTTGTGTGTAATTGTGGCCAGCATTATTTTCATAGATTTAGTTAGAGTGAGGTTTTCTGAGTATGATACACATTAATCTCCAGTCAAATTGGTGAGTGATATTAAGATATATTTTCCTTCTGTTATGTAATTGTGTATATATATAACCATTTATTATTTTTAATATACAGTCCACAAATTTATATATTTACCAGCATTCCTGGTGATGTATATTTCATTTAATTAATAGGTCCAGAGCAATTTGTGGATATGACAGTTGTAGGTATCGAAGGGGGACATTTTTTGCGACCTAGGTGTCCCAAATTCCTAGTCTAACTGATAAATAATAATTATCAATGTTCATTTACTGTTATGTATATAATAATGCATTCAGATAAATGCAATTTTCCACAATACAGAAACAAAATGAACTTGGAACCTGACCTACCCTTAAAATTGCCTGACATTGAACCTGAAATTCTGAACATAGTGTCAACAAATCAGCATCAAACATCTCATTAAACAAGTAAGTTTTTTTAATACTGTCATTTATTTAATTACATACTCAGTTACGTATGTTTTTCAATTGAGAGATTAAACTGGGAAAACGAGTGTGTTGTTAGTTAATGAAATCGGTTTCTCGGGTAGACAGACCTTTCAAAAACCTGGGGGTTTTGAAAAGTCTGTCACCATCAAAAACCCTTTAAATAAAAGGGTCTTTGGTGGCGACAATGGTTAGGGACCACCGCTGTGTATACCATTAATAATATAACTATCTGTGTTGTTATAACGTATCCCCGCAAAACTTTTAATAATCAAAACTAAGCGCTGAACTCACAAAGCTTACACAGCGCTGCACAAAACCTTTATTAAGAAGTTGCTTGAATATTTTTTTTCTTCCTCCAGCTTCGTCCAATAAGCTTCGAATTTTCAATGTTTGTGTACGGTAACGAAGACCAGATTCTCCTTAGCGATTGGCATGTTTACGTTCCCTTTAGCCAAAGTTACTGAATCCATTCCCAGCATCCTGGAAAGGCTCGGAAAATTTCCAAAATCCTCAGTGGTGGTGCTTCAAACATTCAGAAAAGAAAGATGTCGTGTAATTCGACGACAGCAGAGAGTTAAATTCAAATGTGTATGTTTATATTTGACTATTTAACGTGTAGTTTGAAATTTTTATTCTCGTTAAAACATGTTAATTAAATTTCAGCTCTGCCTTTTATGAACGACTTCAGCATTTAATGTGTGATGCATCTTAGGGCCAGGATACGACCCATTAAGTTTGTCTGCAGGCATCTTTGCTGATGTAGTAAAATGGTAAGTAAAACTAAGAATCGTTGTCATATAAAACTTATGAAATACATTGTGGGATCTGTCTGTATAGAAGCAAGTTTCTCAAATATACTAACGGGGTCAATAAACACGTAACCATTGCATGTCATGAAACAGCTTTGTGATGGAAAGGTTCATTAGAAAAGAGTGGAAGCTTGAATGAGTGGAGGTGGTGGTAGTATAATAGGTTGAATGCCTGTTCTGAAAGGGGTGTGTGTCGTTACCTGTACCCATTTTTTTTCCACCCGGTAGGAGTTAACATGGGACCCTCCCCCCCGACGAATCAACGTTACTTGGCTTTCTGCTTCCATGATGTCTATAATTATTGAATTCCACTCTTTTTTTTTTATATTGTGTTGGGGTTTTAGTAGATTTAACCGGACCTGACTTGACCAACGTATTTTAACGTAATTATCTGTCCTCGCCGTTTCTTTTAAAGACCTTCTGCCTATCATGTGAGTGACTGCTTATCCGGATTGCAACCTGTTTTGTTCTGGCCTTGCTGGCTGGATTGATTCACCCGACACAAGTTAGACATGACGGGCACCAGGATCTAGGCACAGATCCGAAACGTGAAATCTCATCATCTTTTAGGGAACTACACTTCCTCTACAACTTCGGCTGATCAGCTGTTTTTCTTCAACGTCCTGCAGCGAAACTCCATTTGTTACGCCATCAACAGTTCCTTGTGGTGAATATTGGCGTCTCGGGCGGAGCTTCACAAAATTCACGTCCACCAGTGACTAGTGTGTCTCAACGCCTTTGAGTATTCCTCTGTTTTCTTCAAACGCTCTGCAGCAAATCTTCATTTGTTATGCCGCCAACTGTTTACCTTGGTGAATATTGGCGTCTGTAATGTCTTGGGAGGAACTTCACAACAAAAGTCCATCTGTCCAATACATATATCGTGCCGAATAGGTAAAACTTACGATTTTGGCTTAAATAGCAACGCTCTTCTTGCCGAATAAGGCAAGCGAAAATTTTATGTATGTAATAATTTCACAAAAATCATTCTGAACCTAACAAAAAAAATATATTTCATTGTGTTTGTTTATTATTAAATTATTGTAAACTTAGCCTAATCCAACTAACTATATTTTAGATAAGTTTACAATAATTTAATGATAAACACAATGAAATATATTTTTTTCGTTAGGTTCAGAATGATTTTTGTGAAATGATTGCATACACAAATTTTCGCTTGCCTTATTCGGCAAGAAGAGCCTTTCTATTTAAGCCAAAATCGTAAGTTTTACGTATTTGGCACGATATATATATATATATATATATATATATATATTTATATATATATATATATATATATATATATATATATATATATATATATATATATTTCAGGCGGGAAGAGTTCATGTTTTATCTAAGTTTTGCTTATTAATAAAATTATTTATCTAATTCCGTTATAATATATTTTTCTATTTCTTTTCATGAGGAGGAATCAGTTCTTTGGAATACTCTTTGACGGCGCTGCATGACCCTTGTAGGTTTAGCGCTTCTTTTTTTATAATAATAATGAAATACTCTTTGAGGGTCTGAGAGGACTGTTACATCTTCCATAACTGGATAATGATTCATCTGATCGGTTTCAAACTTTCACTTGCATGATTCGTTCTGTTATTGGGTGGCACAGGTCCCAATTTGTCAGTGTCATTAAATAGTGATTTAATTTTTATTCAGGAACTTTAATGGAAAAAATAATACGAGGGAGAAACCAGCAGTGATGTAATGAAAGAATTCTTAGTACACATAATTACAATTATCATACATAGTAACATACATGTAAAATGTCTAAGATAACCCAAAAAGATGACTTTTTATTTCCATTGGGGTGTTTGTAATATATTAGGTGTAAGTTACATTAGAAATCAGTCATGATTATAACCTTTCTTACCTGTCAGCAACACAGTGATGTACACAACATACCTACCACGATCTTTGATGTGCTCATCGCATTTTATAATGCTTATACTGACAAATTAAAAATGATACTGTGTAGGGAACTTTATACTGTTGCATAAAGACAAAGAACCAAGCTGGAGAACAAACTTTTATTGGGGCCTCGTTTTGCTCTGCGAACTTTATTTAGGAAAAGAGCGAAACTGTCATAATCAGTGTTTTATTTTGCAACTAGTATCTTTGTTTTCATACTTATTGTCAGAGCGGCATTTTATCACAAAATATAGCTGTTGCTTTGCAACCACTTACGTTATCAATCTAAGCTGATATGGCAGTGTTTGCTCCGTTTGCTACTGTTGTACACCAGCTGTTTAGTGGATACCAGTTTTTACAACTGAGCATACAGTCAGAAGGGCATGATTACCCACCCTATGAAGACTAAATATGTAAATACTGTTAAGTTTAATGACTGTTCTCTCAGTATTTTCAGACACTCTCTGCCTGGGTCGTATCAACACTGCTGAGAGACGTGAAGATAACTATTTCAGTAAACAACTTCGTACTAGCTACAGTAGCTCCTCCAACAGAAAATTCTTTCGCAGTAAATTTAGATTTTTAAGTATTTTTATTCACTGGACTGTAATGTACTGTGGGCAAGACCCCTCGGGAGCGTGGGCCCTCAGTGCATCCTCCAGGTATACCCTGGTTTTAAAGTACCCAGGACGACCAGCTCCTGGGTAATCTTAATTGTCAATAATGTTAATTGCTTCGATGCGATAAGGAGACGGTCGATGTACTACTTAAATCTCCTTGAACATGCAGTGGTTATCGAACCCTGGACTTGTGAGCACACTCGAACTACTGGTAGATGAGAGACATTGGCAACAGCTGGGTATATTGTCGAAAAGTTTCGTCTTCTCTGCAGGCTTCTTCAGTCGAATACAAAGGAGACACATTTGACAATATGTCACCTCTGTAATCGACGGTAGAAGCTGCAAAACATAGGAAATGTTTCGACAATATACTCAATTATTGCATATGTTTCTCATCCACTTATCATTAATGTTTACCATTATTATGACACTCCAGCCACTAATTGATCAATTAGGGAAGTACAGGTAGCTAATACGTCTCTCGCAAATTAGCAGACAGGATCGAACTCACCACCACCACTCCTTGCGCTGAATGATTCACGTTGATTTGATGTTTCATGTAAAAAGCAATAAGATTTCGTTCGGATTTTTAACCCCGGAGGGTTAGCCACCCAGGATAACCCAAGAAAGTCAGTGCGTCATCGAGGACTGTCTAACTTATTTCCATTGGGGTCCAACCAGTGATGAAACAATGAGGAGTCACACAGTTGAGGAAGATCCCGACAGCTGAATTAATCCACCTTGCCGTGGCCAGACACTCACATCTGACCTGTGGTAAGGTACAGTCTTACCAGCGGCATCATATCTTATCAAGCAGTGAAGTCTCGATGACTTGCTCAGCCACGAACACACCAGTTGGGTGTCAGCGTTGACCAGAGCAGCAACAATGGGATCTCCACCCAGCTGATATCTAGCCACCTTCGAAATACTAAATTAATCTCGAACAGGTGAAGTGGGAGCTGTAAACAATGGTTGGAGTGCCTCGAGCGTTGGTGAGGTAGCTGCTAGAGTTTGATGCATGTGGCTTATGGATTTGTAAGAGACGTTAAGTGAATTGGTCACAGCGAGTGATGTGTGTGGCTCCTGGTGATGTTATGTACAGTTAAAACCTCACTAGTTACCCTAACTTTAAACAACATTCCTTCCTTACTTACATACTCTTCTTATCTCCCTCTCTTATCTATCTTCGTTGTTTCGTATATCCTTTACCCTCTTCTTCCTGCCATCTTAGTTATCATTCTCCTATTTTCTCCCTCCTCTCCTTTTAGTCGTCCATTCCTCTCTTCCTCCCAGACACTATCCACCCATCCCACGTCAGCAGAAACAACAGCAATGACAACAACAATGTCTTCTCTTCGTCACCTCGTCATAGCAGCGTTGGAGTGGGTGTTGGCGGTGGTGTTTGGGGTGGCAGTGTTGGGCAAGTTGGTGTGGTTATGGGGCAGGGGCGCCCTGCGTGCCTCCCTGCCCCGAGACGTGCCCCCACCCTGCCTCCACTACCCCGCCCTTGGCAGACACAAGTTCGTCAAGCTCCAGGTAAGTTCACAGACGTAAAGTACATAATAACATTGCAGGTATATTTACAGACGTTAAGTTAAATAACAATATGTTACAAGGACCCTAATGGAAATAAGTCACTTTGTCTGACTTTTTCGGGCAATTTACACTATATATGATAATTATACTTATGTGTAACTGTGCCTAAATGAACTTACTACAGATATATTCACAAATGTTAGACAACTGCAGCACGCTACAGCTGTGTTCACAGATGTTAGACAACTGCAGCACGCTACAGCTGTGTTCACAGATGTTAGGCAACTGCAGCACGCTACAGCTGTGTTCACAGATGTTAGGCAACTGCAGCACGCTACAGCTGTGTTCACAGATGTTAGACAACTGCAGCACGCTACAGCTGTGTTCACAGATTTAGGCAACTGCAGCACGCTACAGCTGTGTTCACAAATGTTAGGCAACTGCAGCACGCTACAGCTGTGTTCACAGATGTTAGACAACTGCAGCACGCTACAGCTGTGTTCACAGATGTTAGGCAACTGCAGCACGCTACAGCTGTGTTCACAGATGTTAGACAACTGCAGCACGCTACAGCTGTGTTCACAGATGTTAGACAACTGCAGCACGCTACAGCTGTGTTCACAGATGTTAGACAACTGCAGCACGCTACAGCTGTGTTCACAGATGTTAGACAACTGCAGCACGCTACAGCTGTGTTCACAGATGTTAGACAACTGCAGCACGCTACAGCTGTGTTCACAGATGTTAGGCAACTGCAGCACGCTACAGCTGTGTTCACAGATGTTAGGCAACTGCAGCACGCTACAGCTGTGTTCACAGATGTTAGACAACTGCAGCACGCTACAGCTGTGTTCACAGATGTTAGACAACTGCAGCACGCTACAGCTGTGTTCACAGATGTTAGACAACTGCAGTACGCTACAGCTGTGTTCACAGATGTTAGACAACTGCAGCACGCTACAGCTGTGTTCACAGATGTTAGACAACTGCAGCACGCTACAGCTGTGTTCACAGATGTTAGACAACTGCAGCACGCTACAGCTGTGTTCACAGATGTTAGACAACTGCAGCACGCTACAGCTGTGTTCACAGATGTTAGACAACTGCAGCACGCTACAGCTGTGTTCACAGATGTTAGACAACTGCAGCACGCTACAGCTGTGTTCACAGATGTTAGACAACTGCAGCACGCTACAGCTGTGTTCACAGATGTTAGACAACTGCAGCACGCTACAGCTGTGTTCACAGATGTTAGACAACTGCAGCACGCTACAGCTGTGTTCACAGATGTTAGGCAACTGCAGCACGCTACAGCTGTGTTCACAGATGTTAGACAACTGCAGCACGCTACAACTGTGTTCACAGATGTTAGACAACTGCAGCACGCTACAGCTGTGTTCACAGATGTTAGACAACTGCAGCACGCTACAACTGTGTTCACAGATGTTAGGCAACTGCAGCACGCTACAGCTGTGTTCACAGATGTTAGACAACTGCAGCACGCTACAGCTGTGTTCACAGATGTTAGACAACTGCAGCACGCTACAGCTGTGTTCACAGATACGTGACTCTAAAAGTAAACAAAAATGAAAGACACCTTGATAAATAATAATTTAAATTGAACTAGCCAGAGGAAGTAACCTCACCACGCAACCTCGAAATTCAGGAAGATACGAATGGTTTATCAGCCCAAGGTCTCGTGACTTGCAATTTTAATTAAGTTAGCAACGAGATAGAGAGAGAGAGAGAGAGAGAGAGAGAGAGAGAGAGAGAGAGAGAGAGAGAGAGAGAGAGAGAGAGAGAGACAGAGAGAGAGAGAGAAGAGAGAGAGAACAGAGAGAGAGAACAAGAGAGAGAGAGAGAGAGAGAGAGAGAGAGAGAGGAGAAGAGAGAGAGAGAGAGAGAGAGAGAGAGAGAAATGAATAAACTAGTTAAACTTTAAATTTTCACGACAAATTTATAAATAAATAAACTCAGGACATAATATTTTAGATAGATCTAATGTTATATACTTGGAAATACTCTTCCTTTGGAAGTCTTTGAATCTAAATGACTTCCTCAATTTATCAAATAAATATAAAAGCTTGTGAGGGAATGCCAGAAGTCTTCACCTGTGCCAACTTACTAAAACAGCGTCACTAATCATTAACTCGAAGCTTTAATACCGATAAGTTGTTGACTAAGACATGTGCAATACCTGGTTATCTTGATTGAGACACGTTTCTTGTAATCGAGAGGCATGAGGGAAGAGACATTGATACTGGAGCCAGTGAAAGAGGTGGTGAGATACAGCAGTTGAAGATATGATCACATGTGGGCGGGGGCCAACTAGTGAAAGTAGGTTAAGTCCGTAAGGTGAGCCACAGGTTTGATAATTGAACTGTTAAAGATATAATCTGTGCTGAGATTCCATAGTGCTGTTGTGTCGGTCAAGTGTATTATGATACTTGTGTCAGTTAAGTATATAATGGCACTTGTGTCAATGATGTATATAATATTTGTGTCAGACAAATATATAATGAAGCTTTTCTGACACAACAACGTGGAATTTGTTACAGAGTGTAACTTTAAAAATTGCATTGATCAGTCTCTGGCCCATTTTATGAGTTTACCTGTCCTTACTAGCGGGCCCCGCCCGCATATCACCATATTTTCAACTGCTGCACCTCACCACTGCTTCCATTGGCTCCAGTGAAAGAAATGGTTCTTAATGGTATCGGAGAAAATTTATAATTTATTGTTAAAACCAATACCTGCATTACTCTTACCACCACCAAGAACCTAATAACAAAGAGGAATATACGACTCACATAATTTTACATACGCAGGAATAAACGATGCGCAAGAATATACGACACAATGTATCTAACACTGGTATCTACACTCTTCCAGGGTGAAGGAGGTGTATTGCTTTTAATAATAAATTAGGAGTATAAAACATTACATCCCCTGAAAATAAATATGCTTGACATGATTCAGCCTATGACTCCTCCGTACATCTCAACACTAACAATCATGTCATGAAGTTAAAAGTGGCCGAACTTGTCATCAAGGAACCAGACCTCAACTGCAAATGATGTCTGGAAAACATCAAAACACGGGCAGATTCATAACTTCGAAAATTCTGGCCAAATACATCTCTGTAACGGGTTGACAAAGCCCCTCAGCCCCTAATGAGCGAAGCGTCTCAATGAATGTCTTAAGACCATACATGTCTCTCATACTTGTAATTTTAACCATATTGCTACATACGTGGCTCACCTTATGAGGACCCGACCTGCTTCCACGAGTGGGTTCTGCCCAAATATGACCATGTCTTCAACTGCTGCATCTCGCCACTTCTTCCAGTGGTTCCAGTATAAAGAAACCTCCGTCCTCAAGTCTCTGTATCATATTGATAAAGATTGTTGTACAGGCGAAACGTTTCACAACAAAGTTATCGAGGTGTTACATGTGTCTTAGTCATCAAAACAAAGTTATTCGAGCTGCCGGATTTCATGTAAATAAAGGTGTATTTTTTACTAATTGCTCTTATTATCATAGGCTTATTTATGCAACATTACTACTACTACTACTACTACTAGTAGTAGTGCTGTTACCATTCTTACTAATGCTACTATTACTATATTTTCCTACTATTACAAAGGCTCTTACTGCTCACATTACCGTTACTGTTCTTATTATTACTGGTCCTACCTTGTACTGTTGTTTTTTCAACATATATTACTACGACTGTACTTGCTACTACTACTACTACTCTAGCTACTACTACTGCTGCTATAATCACTTATACTAAATTATAATACTGATGTGAAGAACAGAGGGTGTATGTGTCGGTGTATGACCGATTAGCTAGTGATCTCATCAAGCTACTAGTGGAATCCAGTCCTAGAAACCTGCCTTTCCATTTCTAGATAATTGATATCTTACCTCTGATTCGACACATGTGCAGTGTAAGTCGGGTGTAGGTTTATCTGCGATTAACTGGGGGCTGGTGGAAGACCTTTTACTGTGGCCAGTTCCAAATTGTGTACATAAATGCGCATTTAATTACTGTCTTTAGGCACTTTCCGTCATGGAGTGTGGGAATCTATGTTGCTTCAGTTAACACTTGAGATACTTGTATAGGTCACTAGTTCTATATCTGGCTTTTATAGGAGAGAAGATGCCGCTTATGAGGTTTATCTATCAAATTGTTATGTAATAATGAATGCTAGAGTACGTCACTGCCTAGCCTAGTGTATGGTAAGTAGCCCTCTAACTATGCATAACTGCATAATTAGGCAGGTTCTGGCTGCCTACCTCTTCACTCAAGAGTGGACTTGTGGCTAGCATGAGTAACCAGTAAACATTCGTGGGTGGCTGGTACAAGTGCCCACTGGTGTCAATATGTGTAGATTATGAAAGGTAATTGTAGATACTATACTAAATTACTGTATGTCTAACTCCAGCTTAGCTGAAATACTTGTTGGTAGTAGTAATTTTAGCCTATAGAGGCTTCATTACTTAATTAGTCTTATAAATTAAGAATAGTTGTAGGCATACGTGTGCTCACTGCCTACTTCCATGTATGCGTCTGGTGCTACCTCAAGCCTTTCTCCCTCTCCTATCCCTTAACTGATGCGAGCAATCAGTTAACTTCCCTGATTTCCCACAACTGATACAATTACAGTTTCTAACACTGAAGTACTTTTACTAATAAAAATTAATAATATTTTTCAACTACATCTTCCACTCTTACTACTGCTCTTTTTATTATTTGTACTTCTGCTACTGCTAACACCATCACGATTTCTACTGTTCCATTACCGTTATTACAGAGGGCAAGTAGCATGAACTGAGAACGTTACATATATATTTGGCGTGCAGAAGGCTAACCACAAGTCATGTAGTCATTTTTGCCAGCTGTAGGTACAGGGAATCAGAGCCGTCTAGTGGTGATATTCAACCTTAGATAGTCTGGTAAGCGTCAGGGCCCTTTGGCACTTTTGACTTGTTAAGGGTGGGTTTGCTGACTGACTCAGTTTTCTATATCGTGGTAATCTTTTCAGCTAGCTAGGCAGACTCTTTCCAGCAGGTAACTGGCTCCTATCTCAGGGTGACCTTTGGTTCTGTGTTCTCACTGCTGATTATTATTCTGGCTTGAGGGTAAACTGATTGAAAATATATTATTCAAATTATTGCTGAGTCAAACTTTTCCCTTGTTGAGTGAGTCTTGTGACGCAGTTCCTGCGATTGTTTATAGAAGAATCCAGTACTGCTTGCTGGACTGCAGCAGAAGTAATTCGTGAAACCAATCCTCCCTTAGTGAAGGCCCTATTATTATTATTATTATTATTATTATTATTATTATTATTATTATTATAAAAAAGAAGCGCTAAGCCACAAGGGCTATACAGCGGTGAAGGCCCTAAAACACCCACTTACCATGTACTTAGTACCTCCTCCTCACCAAATACCAGTAAGACTTGATGTTTGTGTAAATTTCAGAATCTCAAGCTTCACTACGTGGAAGCTGGGAGCCCTGAGAACCCACTGGTGGTGATGATCCATGGAGCACCTGATTTCTGGTTCACCTGGAGGAGGCAGATTCCCTCTCTCAGTCACGACTACTGGTAAGGCCGCAGCTCTTCACTATACACCTCTACAGAAGGTTATACTTGCTAGAGTTGAGTCTCAGCACTTGGCTCTGCTTTTCAATTACACATGAGCAGCCACATCAAAATCTCGCCTCGTAGATATAATTATACTTAATATTAAAATTTTGTATTAAAATTGCTTCCACAACTACCTCACCTACTTCCTAAGTAGTGTTTTTTGACATTTCTGTGAGATCACCATCCCAGCATTTGGGTCCCAGACCAAGCCTCCACATTAACAGTCGGATCAGTGAGACTGTTGGTGCTTGTCTAATTTTATGCTTGCTCTTATTTTCTTTCATTATCTGAGGTTTGTAGCCTCTCTATTCAACTTCTGGTCTTTTTCCTGCTTCCTCATGTTTCGTGATTTGTATTGACTGGGGTTGACGAGGAAAAGCCACTGATTTGAGCAGCCTGTGGTGTGGTCTGTTCAGATCCTGTGTCCAGTCTCTTTCTTCGTATCATTTAGTTATTCCCTTCAAAGATGATGCCGTGAGGATGAATCTCGATCCTAGAAATTGAAGCCACCTTCTCCTTACTTGAATCACACCTGATTAACTCCCATATCTCGAATGTACTCTGCCTCCCTTACAAGTTAAGTGCTTGCTCACGAATATAATAATATTCACGCCAGCACAGAGTCCAGTCTGTCCCTGCTGGATATCCTGAGTACAATATTTAGATTATCTTTAAAATTTAAGAGTCCAGTAGCACAAACATTATCTCGTCTTTGATGTTATTCTGTTTATCACTCTGCGAAGGAGTATTTTTCTACTTTTCTTTCTACATTGGATTCTTCGTTGTCTAAAACAGTGACGTCTTGTGTTCCATGTTGCTGGTGATCAGAAATCTTCCTTATCTATTATCACGTAACATTTTATGAACCTACTTGTGGTTATTATACTTGCTAGTCTCCTCCAACTTACCAATGTACCTCCTGACCTTCTTTTAGCATTTCTACGATGTCTTCCTCTTGTATAATTCCCTTCACTCCTATTCATCTCGATGGCGTTTTATTGAAGATAAATGTGTTTTTTTTTCACCGTTTTCAACGATGATGGATTGATTACATCGTATTTACATCTCCACTACCTCCTAAGTATTCAACTGAAGAAGCCTATTGTATAGGCGAAACGTTTTGGAATTAAGATGCCTAGCTGTTGGACATGTGTCGTACTTATCAATTTGTCGGTATTATATTACATTATCAGATCACATAATGTGTTAGTGAGACTTCCACTCCATATAAAAACTGAAGACACATCACAGAGTAGTGGTCATGGATACTATATTTATCTTGTCTCACGGGTTGTTCTACATTCATTTTCAATTCTTTCTTGCATTCCTCCACTTAAACCTGTCTACTATTCATTAAATACAAAGTATGTGGTCAGCCCTATGGTCACTGTCCAAAACACTGTGCTCTTAATTGTCCGCTTATTGAGGAATAGAGAGACAGTATAATAACCTATGTGACATGTCAAGATATTAACGAAAATAAGATACCAGATATGTTAAACAAATTTCCTAAATTTGCTTGTAACAAATAAGTGAACTGTAGATATAAATTCAGATGTACTCCTGTAAACCCTTTTGCGGCCTAGTTCTTAGGCCTTTCGTGTATCCATATGCCCTTGCGCTACCGTCCACAGGATGGATATGGGGTGCACACTAAACTACCACCTCGGTGACAAAATCTAATCCATTCAGTAATATCTTCTTAGTATCTGTTTTGTTGTGCTTTAACGTTTTATTTCTTATTTAATTACGTTTGGTTTGTTCTACACACGCCTCTCTAGACTCAGTATATTATCTCACGTTTAACGATGACAGTGATTCAAGTCTTGTCTCATTTGTTCCTTCATTTCTTATACGCTTTCCCGCATCTTATTTTCTGTGTGATCGTAATCATATTCACTGCCTCTCTTACTTGACCTTACACACACACAAACTACATATGGTGGACTACTATCCACAATATATAGTTTGTAATCGCATATGTGTTTACGTATGTCTGCGTCTTGCTGCGCATTCACTGACACGTATTCACCTATATGTGGCTGCATAGGTCGAATTTTAGCTCCTGGCCGCTCCTCTCGATTTGCCGCTTGCCAGATTACTAATTTTACCTTGGCCTTCGTACTGTCCTAAGCTGATATTGAGCAGTCCAATCCACTTCTTATCTATATCATTCCTTCCGACTGTCCTTAAGACTGGATTTTCGTTTACGCCTCTTAAAAGCCTTATGTTTGTTGTTAGTTACCATCTTGTCCAGCCACAAGCTGATTGACGTACTACGCCTTTGTATATGATACGTGTGTGTGTGTGTGTGTTAGTTACCATTTTGTCCTAGGCACATGTCGATTAGACACTAGGCCTGTTGTATATGAGTACTGTGTTGTGTGTGTTGTGTGTGTTAGTTACCATTTTGTCCTAGGCACATGTCGATTAGACACTAGGCCTGTTGTATATGAGTACGTGTGTGGTGTGTGTGTGTGTGTTGTGTGTGTGTGGTGTACTACCTAGTTGAGGTTGCAGGATCATATAGCTCCGGCCCCCTTCACTGTCGTATAGCACTCTCCCTGAACCTGAGTTGATGTACCTTGCTTAAAGTGTGTTGGTCTGCCATACTCGTGTGTGTGTGTGTGTGTGTGTTGTTACCTATTCAGGTCCATAGGGCCCCCATTCGATTAGACACTAGGCCTGTTGTAATGAGCTTACGTGTTGTGCTGTAGTTGTATGTGATGTGTCATTCGTGTGTGTGTGTGTGTGTGTGTGTGTGTGTTGTTCCTTGTACCTCACCTAGTTCGTAGACCACCTAGTTAGGTGAGGTCGTCCAGCTCCTGGCCCCCCTCTTCACTGTCCTACTGTTGTCACTACCTGAACCATGAGCTTTGTACGTCTGTTAAAGCTATGTATGGTCTGCTCCCTACATCGTGTGTGTGTGTGTGTGTGTGTGTTAGTTACCTTTTGTCTAGTGCACATGGCATTAGACACTAGCCTGTTGTGGTATGAGGGGCGTGGTGTCCTGTGCTGTAGTGGTCGCTCTAGGTCACTTCCTGAACCATGAGCTTATGTACTCTGTGTAAAGGCATGTTGGATCTGCCCATATGTTGTGTGTGTTGTGTGTGTTGTGTGTGTGTTGGTATTTTTGTGGTAGGTGGCGTAGATAGTGTTGTATGTGGTAGTGTGTGTGTGTGTAGTGTGTGTGTGGTAGTGTGTGTGTGGTAGTGTGTGTGTGGCAGTGTGTGTGTGGTGTGTGTGTGTGTGGTAGTGTGTGTGTGTGTGTGGTTGTGTGTGTGTGTGGTAGTGTGTGGTGTGTGTGGTAGTGTGTGTGGTAGTGTTGTGTGGTAGTGTGTGCTGTGGGGGGGGTAGTGTTGTGTGTGTGGTAGTGTGTGTGTGTGTGTGGTAGTGTGTATCTGTGTGTGTACTCCTATTGTGGTATGCGGGGGTGTCCTGTGTGGCCGTTTCAGTTGCTACTAGGCTCTTGTTCCGTAGAGTTTTGTATGTCGTTGTGTAGTGTGTGCCTGGCCGTACGTAGTGTGTGTGTGGATTAGTTCAATGTATGAGTGGAAATATGTTGTACTCTCACTCTATTTGTACTCACCTATTGTGGCTCCGGGTCGAGTCCTAGCTCCTGGCCCCGCCTCTTCACCGGTTGCTACTAGGCCCTCTCTCTCCCCGCTCCATGAGCTTTATCAAACCTCGTCTTAAAACTGTGTATGGTTCCTGCCTCCACTACGTCATTTTCTAGGCTATTCCACTGCCTTACAACTCTATGACTGAAGAAATACTTCCTACTATCTCTCTGACTCATTTGTGTCTTCAACTTCCAATTGTGGCCTCTTGTTTCTGTGTCCCCTCCCTGGAACATCCTGTCTTTGTCCACCTTGTCTATTCCACGCAGTATTTTATATGTCTTTATCATGTCTCCCCTGACCCTCCTGTCCTCCAGTGTGGTCAGGCCGATTTCCCTTAATCTTTCCTCATAGGACATTCCCCTTAGCTCTGGAACTAACCTTGTCGCAAACCTTTGTACTTTCTCTAGTTTCTTGACGTGCTTTATCAAGTGCGGGTTCCAAACAGGTGCTGCATACTCCAGTATGGGCCTGACATACACGGTGTACAGTGTCTTGAATGATTCCTTACTAAGGTATCGGAATGCTGTTCTCAGGTTTGCCAGGCGCCCATATGCTGCAGCAGTTATCTGATTGATGTGTGCTTCCGGAGACATGCTCGGTGTTATACTCACCCCAAGATCTTTCTCCTTGAGTGAGGTTTGCAGTCTTTGGCCATCTAGCCTATACTCTGTCTGTGGTCTTCTGTGCCCCTCCCCCATCTTCATGACTTTGCATTTGGCAGGATTAAATTCGAGAAGCCATTTGCTGGACCAGGTGTCCAGTCTGTCCAGGTCTCTTTGAAGTCCTGCCTGGTCCTCATCAGATTTAATTCTCCTCATTAACTTCACATCATCTGCAAACAGGGACACTTCTGAGCCCTAACCCTTCCGTCATGTCGTTCACATATACCAAAAATAGCACTGGTCCTAGGACCGACCCCTGTGGGACCCCGCTCGTCACAGGTGCCCACTGTGATACATCATTACGTACCATGACTCGTTGTTGCCTCCCTGTCAGGTATTCTCTGATCCATTGCAGTGCCCTTCCTGTTATATGCGCCTGATGCTCTAGCTTCTGCACTAATCTCTTGTGAGGAACTGTGTCAAAGGCCTTCTTGCAGTCCAAGAAGATGCAATCAACCCACCCCTCTCTCTCTTGTCTTACTTCTGTTATTTTATCATAAAACTCCAGAAGGTTTGTGACACAGGATTTGCCTTCCGTGAATCCGTGCTGGTTGGCATTTATACTCCTGTTCCGTTCCAGGTGCTCCACCACTCTCCTCCTGATAATCTTCTCCATAATTTTGCATACTATACACGTCAATGACACAGGTCTATAGTTTAGTGCCTCTTTTCT